TCCTCTGTCACTCTCCTCCTTCTATCCCTTCATCTCTCTGTCTCTCTTTCTGTTTCTTCTTTCACTCCCCGTTGCCCAGTATCACTCTCTCCATCTCTCTCTTTCTCTCTCTCCCCTCTCCCCATCTCTCTCCGCCCCCTTTCCCTCCATCTTTCTCTCTCTTCTTTTACCCCTCCTTGCTCACTATCACTCTCTCTTTCTTGCACTCCCTTCTCTCTGTCTCTCTCCTCCTTCTATCCCTTCATCTCTCTGTCTCTCTTTCTGTCTCTTCTTTCACTCCAACTCGCCCACTATCACTCTCTCCATCTCTCTCTTTCTCTGACTCCCCTCTCTCTGTCTCTCTCTTCCCTCTTTCCTTTCATCTCTCTCTTTCTCTCTCTTCTTTCACTCTCTTTCTTGCTCTCCCCTCTCTCTGTCTCTTTCCTCCCTCTTTCCCTTCTGCTCTCTGTCTCTCTTTCTCTCTCTTCTTTCACTTTCCCTACCTTACTATCGGTCTCTCCTCTCTCTCTTGTCCCTCCTCTCTCTCTCCTTCTCTCTCTATAACTCTTTCTCACGCTCTCTCTCTCCCCCTGTTCTCTTTTTCTCTCTGACCATCACTCCCTCTCTCTCTTTTCCTAACTCGATGCCAGATCAGTGCGTCTGCGTTTGTGTGCGCCGCAGGCAGATATGCGCGCACCCCTCCACTGGCATGTTAAACCTCTCTCCCGCGCTCTGATAATGTCCTTACGTTTTCAATCTGTCATTCGTTTGAGTCGTATTACTGTGTCAGGTCACTCCACAGTTGTCAATCACACTACTCCACCTCCGTGTATCAAATTCCTGCCTCCCAGTGTCTAAAATTCCTCTTCTAATCGACGGTATGCTGGAATGACTGGAATCGGCCAACAAGTAATAATCCTGATCCCTGAATCTTAATGGGATTACAGGGGACAGTTAAACATACCACACAGAAAAAGAATGTTACTACTACTACTACTACTACTACTAATACTACTACTACTATTACTACTACTACTACTGCTACTACTACTACTACTACTGCTCTAACTCCAACTACCACTACAACGACCACTACTACTACTAATACTACTACTCAACTATTGCACCTACCGCTACTACTACTGCTGCTACCACCACCACCACCAATACTACTACTACTACTACTACTACTACTACTCCTACTATTACTAATTTTACTACTACTACTTACTACTCTTATTACGACTATTACTACTACTACTACTATTATTATTACTACTACTGCTACTACTACTGCTCTAACTCCAACTACCACTACAAAGACAACTACTACTCCTACTACTACTACTACTAATACTGCTACTCAACTATTGCACCTACCACTACTACTACTGCTGCTACCACTTCTACTACTACTACTACTACTCCTCCTACTACTACTACTACTACTACTACTACTACTACTACTACTGCTACTCCTCCTACTACTACTACTTCTCCTACTATTACTACTGCTACTACTCTACTACAACCACTACTGCTACTACTACTGCTGCTGTGCTGCTGCTGCTCCTCCTCCTCCTACTACTACTTCTACTTTCTACTCCTACTTTTACTTCTACTACTACCACCACCATTTCTACCACTGCTGCTTCTGCTACTGCTGCTACTCTTCCTCCTCCTCCTTCTACTACTATTGCTACTACTCCTACTACTCCTACTACTACTACTACTACTACTACTACTGCTACTACTACTCTACTGCTGCTACTAATGCTACTACTACTACTACAACTAATGTTTAAATCCAGGCTCAAAACAGTTCTGTCTAACTGTGAATGATTGAAAGGTTTTCACTCTGCACTTTTCTCTCTCTCATTTATGTCTCTCTCTTTTTAATTTTATGATGATTATTTATTTTTTGATTTGTTTGTATTGTGATTGGAATGTATTTCTTATTCTGTAAAGCACTTTGAATTACTTGGTGTATGAATTGTGCTATACAAATAAACTTGCCTTGCCTTGCCTCCTCCTCCTCCTCCTCCTCCTACTACTAATGCCAATTACTATTGCTAAATCAAATATACATATATATATACTGTATATATATTGTTACTACTGCTGTATCTTCACTGGCCTTCTCCAATTTGCAGTGGTCAAGAAAGTGTTCACCCTTCACTAGTGAATGTCTGAATAGAGATATTAAAACTGATTTTACCAGACTATAGATAATTTTACCAGGCATTATTATTGTATGACATAATACTTGATTACTTGGTTAATTATGGGCCATGATCATCACATGTTTTAACGAGCCTGGTTAGAATGTTTTTAAGAGCTTCTGCCTTGATCTGGTTCTAGGATTTTATAGACTCTTTTTATAGACAGACATGTAGCAGCGGAAACAGTTTTTACAGAGCAGATTCTTTCCAAAAGGACCCTCTTAAAAATATATAGGCAACTTATAAATAAATAAATACAACATATAAATAAATAAATAAATACAGTAATAATTATAATACAGTGCAATTAATCAATGAGATGCAGTCATTTTTAAGTGAGGTCTACAGCCAATCCTTTGTCAGTAAAAGCATGTGGATTGCACTATTTTAAGTAATTGCACTGCTTATTTATTTAAATGGTTTTCCTCATCTTCTTTCATGAATTGTATTGAAACTTTGCTCCTGTATCTCTATTGGTCTAATGGCACATCTAATAAACACCAAAACGTTATTAAAGAAACCTAAGAAAACAATACAAAATGGATTTAAACACATTTTCAAGAGCCTGTATTCAACACGAGCATTCATGGTCCTGTTTAGGTATATAATTTTCAACAAAAAGAGTACCTTAGTGAAAAAAAACTGTTGGTGACTAGGCTTCTAGCTTGTGACTGTAATGTTATTTGAGAGGGAAAAAGTCATATTTATTTATTTATTTATTTATTTTTTAATCAATAATCAAGATAGATCAATATGAGGGAAAAATGATTGTGATATTGGCACACACTTTTATCCGCACTATCTAAACTTCACTTTGCACGTCGAGCACTTTCTCTGGTCTCGAGTCCTGAGTACAGGCTCTATTATTGACTTGATCTTTGTGAGTTACATAACACAAACACTGGCTGCTATCGCAACATCCAGCCCACTCAAGTTTCTGTGCTGAGCCTGAGTCCAGACGTGACCCGCGGACCCGCGTGTTTGTACAGCTCCACAGGGGGACTCTGCTGTGACAACCTGCTCTCACATCCACAACACAAGCAGCTTCCTCTAGTCCCTAGAGGAACGACACTCAATGCATGAAAACGCACACTATGCCATGTCACTATGTGTACAAAGCTCACAGACAATCTCTGCACAGTTGGATCCATGTTGTCTGCATTTAGAGACATCGAACATGCACCGATGACAGCGGGACATGCGGGCACTTGCATAATCTGCCTATTTAGTTACACTTCATTAAAGTCCAATAGAAATGTAGGTTTTTCTTGATAGTAAATGTTTAATAATCAAAACATTGACTATACCCATACTGTATCATACTAGGGTTGTCAAGGTATCAAACATCATATACTAATCAGTAGTCAATTGAGCAACTGACTCAGCTGAGCAGGTATTGACTCTAAACAAAGTGTCATTCACAGGACAGAAAAGAACTTTTTCTAAATATCTTTCGAATGATTTTGATTGTATCAGAACAAGTATAAGAGCACATACATTACTGTAGTATACACCCATGGACCACTATGAAACTGACCTGGACCACTGAGGGATTACACAGATATGAGGCCACATGGTAATATAAAAGAAAGTACTATGATTTTATGTTAAAATTCCATTCTGCTGTCTAAAGTGTTTTTTGGTGTTGAGTACTGAGTCTATTCCTTAGCATCAAAATCGAGTTTGAAAGTGTAGTATCATAACACTATTTCATTCTTTCTCTAAATAAACTACCAACTTGAAGAGCTGCCACCTTTTGTTAAATGTTGAAAAAATGCTCACGGTGACATATTGATACATCATCTTGAGATATCGATGCTGACCAGCTAATTAAGTATCACTATGTATTGATTTTTTTACAGTATGCATTCATTATATTAAAAGCCCTATATTACACAAAATTGACTCTTTTGAGCTTAAACTTACCTAATGTTGTTACCTCCTAAATAACATACCTGGAGTTGTGTTTTGTCTCACACATCTTTGAGTAACCCTTTATTATTAGTCTATCCACATCTCCACAGCTCAAAATGCTCAAGTAGTGGTAGTTTTCAAGTTGCTACACACCTTTAGTTCAGGAGAGATTGGCAATTCCACAGCTGAAATTTTCCAAATGATTCTATTGAAGGTGTATAGGGTTTAAAAACATGGTGGAGCACTTTCTGTATTAACACATGACATCACAAAGAGGAACAGAGTGTTCTGTGTTTGAGAGAAGAACTCATTTTAAATATGCAGGGTGTGGTTAAACATGTGTGAACAAAACAAAACAAAATAAAACAAAACAATGGGTACCTTTTCGATGATGAACCAACATCATAACATAGAGCAGAAAATAGCATGATACGGGCCCTTTAATCTGAATGCAGCGGTCACTACAGGTTTTGAATTTACTATATGAAGACAGTATGCAAACACAGTGGGTGTTTGCATACTACCAGTGTGTTTGCATATGTGCATGTTAGTCGATCAGTTAGGCCTCTTGACTGGCATGTTTTAATGGAGGCAAAGCAATGATCATAAAAAGTATGAAGATTAACTGTGACATAAGCAGCACCTTCTAAAATAGACTTTCATGGCTGGTTAATCACCTGCGTTTTTAGAGATTAGATTTTCCAAAGCAGTGTCACAAAGTCTGTGTTAGATTTCCTTTGTATGTTCCCACTGGACAAGATGGAGATAAAAGGATGAGGTGAAGGAGAGAGGGGACTCACGTCTACACACACAACACATCGATACAACACATGGACACAACACATGGATACCAGCTGTCACTCTGTCCTGATCTGAGGGGCTTACCATGAGCTGCACTGGGCTAGGACCACTTCAGCTCAGACCAGGGGCGCCTCTCTGTGGGCAAAATGAGCAGTAACATTAGTATTTGAGAACACTATGGCACAACCCCATAGAAATTCATAATTAAACCCTAAACACTATATCAAAAACAAAATGGATAAGGAGTGCTGCACAGCTACATGTGGATTTGAATAATAGATTAAAAAAAAAAAAAGCTACTCAATTGAAGAGCGGGTTGAATCTTTAAAATAGTCTGTTGTTTGAAAGGGTAAAAATCCCCAGGAATCTGAAAAACATGAATAATTATTACACAGATAGAGTAACACACCAGGGGTTAAAAAAAACTAACAAACAAACAAAAAAACATTTTGACTTTCTGACAGTGAATAGACCCATTTAATTTAAGAACCAGGCTAGTTGTAAGACAATCTAATTAAAAGTAAATCAACAGCAGTGTGAATCCAAAATTTTGGTGCCACAACTGGGGAGTAAACCTTTTATGGATGTTAAAGGTGCACTATGTAACTTTTCTCGTGGGGGATCTGCGATAAAAATCAGATTGGGGGATGTGCTTCCTGATTTTCTCCATGGAGATATTTTGTCAGAGAATGTTCCACAGTACTAACTTATGTATTCAACTAGTCAATTATGTTATTCAATTATCCTACAGTGTGAGGTGTTTATTGCTAGTTAACCAGAAAAGTTACATGGCGCATCATTAACTTTTGAGTATTATGTTTACCATTATGATGGAATGATGAACATGGAGCTGTACCCTGTGTTCTTCTGGATGAATTAGCCCGGTTGACAGATCCTATATCCTTTTAAAGAGACCATTTTACTCTATTTTCTGATCTATGTTATAATGTTTCCACATACAAAACATACCCAAGTTGTGTTTTGTTTAATTCACATGTTTATATACAATATACAAGCCCTGCATATTTCTTCTGTTAAACTGAAAACACTGTTCCACCTTGTGATGTCATGTGATAGGCCACAGGAAATACCCCACTGTGTTTTTAAACTCCACAGACCTTCACTAAAATAATTTGGATGATTTCAGCTCTGGAATTAGACTTAGACAAACATTATTGATCCACAAGGGAAATTATTTGGACACAGTAGCTCACTCATCACAATATAATATAATAACAAATAGTAAAAAATATAAATGGTAATAATAAATTCTAAATAAGTGGCAAAAAGATAGAGACCGGTGTCAAATAGTGCATAATTATATTAATGTGTATGTACAAGTCAAAATAAAATTGAAAAACAGATCATAGGAACACAGTGCAACTATGATATTAGATTGGAATAATCTGTAAAGAAAAAAGATAAAAAAGTCTATGAAAACTACCACTTCATAACATCACAATGTGGAACAGAGCATTTTAAGGTTTGGAGATGTAGACAGACTTATAATAAAGTGTCACTCAGACATGTGTGAATGAAACAAAACACAACTCCAGGTTTGTTTTGGAAGAGGTAACACTATTCTACCATGGCTTAAAACTCACTTGGGATTATTTTTGCGTAATATAGGACTTTTATTAGCTGCATGGGTCCTGTCCCCAAACGCATGTGGCCCATCTCCTCCTGGTCGCAGCAAAACAAGTGCAGGGGGTGCGGTCTTTCCTGTGCTGGGAACGGAAGCGGAAATTCGGCCATCTCCTCGGCACAAGCTACAGAGGGTCAGTGACAACTTCATTTGGATTTATTTAGAGATCTGTTTATCCGTAAGTTTGACCCAGTTGCTTGTTATTTTAGAAAGTACATTTCGCATTGTTATGAGTTAGTCCCAGCGTTTCTGAAAGCGTGTTCCGTCGCGCAGCGCCTCTGGTATTTGCGAAATAGCAGTAGCGAGCTAATGCAAAGCTAACCTGCTCCTGAAGCTACAAGTTAGTGAATTATTTCTTATAAATCACCAAGTAGAGCTGTATTAATTTGGTAATCAGTGTCGCTTTTGGTTTCAACAAATATGCTACCCGATGTGGTCGATCACATACTTTTTATTTTTTATTTTGCATGATTTCCTTAGTGCTAACTTAGCAAAATGTGTAGCCTAGGTGTGGATGGTGGTGGCGAGAAGGACTAGCAGAGTTGACAAGCAGATGTACTTAGTCTTTACATGATTATTTGGTCGTGTTTACTTATTTTTGTGTTATATTGTAAATTAGGCTTTGACAAACTTTTAATTGCACGTTTATTCTCCTCTGTGTAAGTTAGTTTATCCTTGCATTGCGCTATCGTTCACTGCTGTTGGCCAAGGCTACTGTGGCTGTCATTTAGTGAGGTGTGACCAGACATGGCCGTACACAGATTTTGAACTATTGAAATCCATCTGCTTGATACCAATTTTAGACCTGGTTTAATCCCCTTTTGGACCTGTTTTTTTTTCCTTTGGGTTAGACCTGAAATTATCTAAAACTTTTGACTTATGTCTTAAGTTTATATCTGGTTTGCTTGCTTTGCAGTAAAGACTTGATTTAGTCCTGCTGCTTCATAATTTGGCATCTGATGTAAACTAGGCCTGGCACAATAACACATTTTGTTAGTGTTTACTGAAAAAAAAAAAAAAGTAGATGTGAAATGATAATATTGAAGCACTAAAAGAATCTCTCCCAAAAATATTATTCTAAATGTAGGTCTATTACAATATTAATAAAACTATGAGCTGCAATTAGTAACTACCAGAATGAATCGGTTCGATGTATCTATAATGAGATACAAGTTATTTATAGCTCATCTACTGCAGCTGAAATCTTGTTGTACTTCAAGGAAATGACAAGTTTCATTCTAGTACAAAGAAAAAGTCCCTACGATAAGTAGTGGTCTGGTCTACTGGTCTAGTCTTTTTGACTTTGAAACCTCTATGGCATTTCTGGGTGTGATCTCTCATGGTTGTCTGCTCCGTGTGTGGTTTGTTATCGGCTTGAACTGGGTGGAGGTTTAGGTTTAACGATGTAAGGCTAGGCAGTATTTTGTAACCATTTTGGTTGGACTATCACAAACCACATAAATGACTATAACAATGTAATCAAACAATGGGAATGTCCTGTTTATTTAATATTTGAGTTATAATATTCTTTTGTTTACATTTAGCTTGTTTAAAAATGCAGTTTCCCTGTTCTGTTTATTATGGGTGTATTTATACATAAAAACAATATATGCACCATTTATGTACCTAACTGACCTGAACGTATTAAAAATCTTGCAGCAATTGGTTCATTAGTGAAATTATCAGTGCGAAATGATACTGAAACATATCTGAGTTGTCTTTGTACTCAGTTGTTCGAACCATTTATTAATTATCAGTAAATATTTGGTAACTGTGGGGTTTCCACTTTTGGTGGGAAGAGTAACCAAAAGCCAGTCCCTGCGTAAACTTGGACATAAGTTATATGGCAGGAGCAATGTTATGCAAACAAGTTTCTCTTCTCTGATCATTAGAAGATGCAGGTTACATGTTGTGCCTTTCTTATCATCATGGCTGCATGAACTTTGGCATAGAGCTCATCGACTTCTAAACTGACTTTTGCAATGATTGCCTTTGCCTGGTGCCCAATTGTGCAACGTGTTATTCTATCTCAGTCACCCATAACATTACCATGTAGCTGTCTATGTCATTATGGGTGTTATTATCTCTAGCTGGGGCATTTTGCCAAAGAAATTAATTAAATTTTTTTCTCCTGTTAGAGATTGATCACCATTTCTGATTCAGTTTTATTTTGTCTAAAAATAGCTTTCATATATTTTCCTCAACATAAACATGGGCAACGCATACTGCTGATCTATCCTATTTAACAGAAAAAAAATAAAAGGTGTACCTCAAATAGGACAATAAAAATTTAATGAATCAAGATTTTTTTTTTCTCACTCTGATCTTATTATTAAGAAAACACAGTAATTTAATGAACGTACAAGAAGAGACACTTTTAATAATTTAAATTTAAATACACCCAAGCTGATTGAAGTTTAGAAATGATCGGATCTCTGTCTCAACCAGCGGAAAATTAAAATAATGAATATAATATAAATACTCAGTGTCTATATTAATCACTTGGCATTGCAGTTCAGTCATTACTGGCTCATGTGATTTCTACTCAGTGCTTACTCTGTCCACTTATCCATAATCTTTCATTCTCTTTCTCTGTGCAGTTTTTTATCATTTTGTGCTCGAGGTTTTGGGGACTCGATGTTGCCACAGGAAGAAGTGGGCACCGTGAGCAGACGACCAGTCCATAAATGAGTGCTTTAAAAGGAACTGAGAGACACCGAGAGGACACAACCTTCTTCTGCTCAGTCGTTGTGTAACAGGTGCATAAGACACTTTCCTCCTCTCTGCCACGTAAGGATGTCACGATTAGGGATGGCACAATAAGCAGTAATGTTGCTTATCGTGATTAAAAAGGTTTGACAATAATTGTTTTTGGGGCATTTTGTATAATCGTGATAATTGCCATTGTTTCACCAGAATGTTCAGAAAAAACGTATCTTTATTGTTATCGTCTAGATCAATTTTATAAAAGTACAGTACAAATTCATAGTATTCAAATTATAATGATTAATGTCTCTAACATTTTAAACTGTTAGTAGTTTAGTAGTTTATTATGTTAATAAAAAACACTTTACATGAACTGGATTCTTTTGAGACATGTTGTTGCCTCCTTAGAAGTATACTTTTTTGTTTTGTTTTGTTTCATTCACACATGTTTGAGTAACTAACTGCATCCTCAAAGCTCAAAATGTTCAGGCAGTTTTCAAGTTAACAGATATCTTTTAACTTTTGTTCAGTAGAGATTGACAATTTCAGGGCTGAAAACAGGGGATTCCTTACAGTATTACTGCATCATTATGAGGAACTATTTTAGAGAACAAGCCCTAAATGTGCGGGTTTTGTGTGTTTATATGTGTGAATGAAACATAACACACCTCCAAGTTTGTGATAAGGAAAAAAGATTATATCATAAATCACAAGATAGTGTAATATGGGCCCTTTAAAGCTGTAACTACTTTAGATCTATCTACAAACATGTCTCAATTGTATGTGATTTTTTGATTAGTTTTGCAGTTCATATTCGATGTTCTCCCAATGTCACTCTTAAAAATCTCAAATTTAATAATAATATTTGTCAGAGATTATAATTAGATCTTTTTTCATAATTTTTCAACTCTACTTATTGTACTCAAGTTCACTTTTCTTTCCTTCCTTGCTGATTACTAAGATGGAACTGAACTCATTTCACAGTGGAGAAAGTCAGCTGATATTTTGCAGTTGTCATTAGCGTTCCCTGGGGGTGTGAAGCTAAAAGAAAGCACTACTCTGTCTGAAACTCTCTTACTCAAATTAGATTCAAATCTGATCTTTATTTTAACACAATTTGACCATGAAGAACTGACATAGCTGAAACTGGAACCACAACAGGTGAGATGATTCGTGCACTTGTACAAATCTCTTACTCATAAAATTACAGTTTCGAGCAGCATTAGCCTACAGTTTTCCAGTTAGTCACCCTCACTCTGTGTTTTTTCTTGAAATTCAAACACCTAAACAGGACCATGAATGCTTATATGGATCACAGGTTCCTGAAAATGTGCTGTTTACATTCATTTTGTATTTTTGTCTTGATTTTTAAAACTTTTTTGTCAGTATTTGCTAATGTGTGCAGTCCGTCACCTTGGTAACGGATGAACATTCAACCTGTAATGTCTTTATTATAGACACATCTACATAAGGAATAATGTTTTAATTAATCAGAACCAAAAATGTTGAATTATAAAAACACTAATTATTTAAAAAACACA